GGGGGGGGGGGAGACAGAGGTTCAAGGCGGGTGAAATTTTGTTCTAAACAGATAAGAGCGAGAGAGTACTTATGAATTATAGTGAGGTTGCCCCAATGTCCTAAAAAAACAACGGGAACTGTCTCCTTGTCATTATGCTTCATTTCAATTTTTTAACCAAAAAAAAATAAATAAACCAACAGCAACAACAGCTATACCGCCACCCCCACCCCTCATAAAAAAACCAAAAAGCAAACCAGCATCATCATCATCATTTTCATTTTTTCTAAGCACTGCATGTGAGTGTTCATCATCATCATCATCATCCTCATCATCATCATCATCATCATCATCATCATCATCATCATCATCATCATCATATCATCATCATCATCATCATATCATCATCATCATCATCATCATCATCATCATCATCATCATCATCATCATCATCATCACCAGAGCGTATGTTTGAATGTCCAGGAACAGTGGCAATTCGAATGGAGTTATATTTGGACCAGTGGAGGTGTCGCTAAGCATATTGACAATGGAGCCGATAAAGAGCCTCGCTCTCGCTCTCGCTCGAAGATTTCTTCGTGGAGTCCGCCAGGCCCATTATGGAAACAAAAAAAGCAGCAGCAGCAGCAGCAGCAGCAGCAGCACCACCACTACAACTAGGTCTACCTAAACCACCACCATCACCATCTTTTACTCACTTGTTGGTCAAGAAGTAAGCCGGTATATAGAAAGGCACGTCGATGAGTCCCAGAAGGAAGAGGTTCAGGAAGATGTTACCCTCCAAACTGTTCAGGCCGAACGAGATACCGTAATAGACGGCAGACACCACGGCACTGAGATAGACAATTAAGCAAACAAACACTAATAAACACAAGTGCAAAAACACACACTCACACACAGCCACACCCACCCACAAACACACACACATACACACACACACACACACACACACACACACACACACTGGATTATTCTGTCACCGTCAAAAGAGTAATAGCAATCTCCCCCAACACACATACACACATAAACAAACACAAACACACACACAAACTCACTCATATACACACTCACCATATCACATACACTCTCACACGCGCGCGCACACACAAACACACACACACACACACT